GAGAATTTTTATTTGTACAGGCATACAGTAATTTAGAAATTTGCATGTAGGTTAAGCTAGCCGAGAGCTTTTTTGTAATTTACTGCCGATATAAAAAATAAAAGTAAGATTGCTGAAGTAAAAAAAAAACATGTATTACTTGAATATGTATTAGAGTTATAGTATAGCAAAAATTTTTTAAAGTTTGTTTATATTAGAATAAGGACAGAATTAGATATTAAAGTTAGAGAAAAATAGTTTATATAGTAAAATTGTTTAACAAAATGTTTTGATAGAGCACCAAAAATGGTATTTTATACTAATTTTTGAAAAATAAATAAAAGAATATTTTTTTATTATATTATATTATATCTAATTTTAAAATTTGGTTTGTAGTTTAGAAAATCTATACTACAAATCTGTTAGTGCAAGAAATATTATATATAATATAAAGGTTGAATTGAATTGAGTATGAAATAAAAGAATAAATAATAGTATAAGTATTTAAATAAGTAAATAAATAATTTTGATAAGGGTTTTGTAAGCATGTATAAAATAGTCAAATCACAAATTGTTAATAATTAGAAGGTAATTAAATTTAAATAGTAATATAATTATAAGTTGTATAATAAAGAAAATAAAAAAGGTTGTATAATTGTAAGTAAAAAAAAATAATGTAATTAATTTAAGTTAATAAACAAATCGCAAGTTACCTAAACAAATATTTTTTTTTATATATAAATTTTACTATAAGTTTGAATGTGCAGTGCTTCTATCTAAAACTTTTTTTTTTTACAAATAAATCACTTTTAGGCTTGTAACAAAAGTTGTAAAGCTCATCAAGATGCATCTAATAGTGAAAGAAAACTAAAATTGGTCTGGTAGTTCTTGAGAAATCTTTAAAAAACTTCTTTTTTACATATAAAATTTCTTTAAAAAAAATCAATTTTTTTAAAGAAGTTTTATATGTGAAAAAGAAGTTTTTTAAAGATTTCTCAAGAACTACCAGACCAATTTTAGTTTTCTTTCACTATTAGATGCATCTTGATGAGCTCTACAACTTTTGTTACAAGCCCAAAAGTGATTTACTTGTAAAAAAAAAAAAGTTTTAGATAGAAGCGCTACACATTCAGGCTTATAGTAAAATTTATATATAAAAAAAAAATATTTGTTTAGGTGATTCGTGATTTGTCTATTAAATGTAAATATATAAATATGTAAGAAAAAATAAATTTTCCTTTTTAAATATTTTTGATAAATAAAAATATTATAAATATTTAAAAACTTGTAACTACATAGTAAAACATTTTAAATATTTGTTTATAAACAGCTTGGTGTAAAAAAAAATTCAAAAATATAAAAGAAGTAATATATATATAAAGTTATTTATCAAGATTTTTAAAATGTAAAGTATTTGTAATTTAATACTAAAAATAGTTGAGATTGGTATTTGATAAATTTTTTTTTTATAAAATAGTTTTATTTGCTAAATATATAATGAATGTTTATAAATGTAACTTTATATAATTATATTTATACTTTAGTTTTAACAGCTATTTAAAAGAACTAAGTTGAATATATTTGCTGTATCTATTTAATAAAGTTAATTTTCTAAAAGTACTTCAGGATAAGCTATATTTAAAGTAGTACTGTCAGAAGAATCAGATAGAAAAAGAGCTTTAATTGAATAGAGTAAAATATAACAGAAAAGAGCTACGTAAAGTTAACTATATGAGAAAACAAGAGTTCAAAGATCTAGCTCAACATGTACTAAGAATTGGCTTTGAAATTTATTTATTATAATAGCAAAAGTAAGATGAATAGAAATTGCCTTTATGTAAAGATAAATGATAGACTTGTTGAGGAAGGTTTTAAAGTAATTCTAGAAATAAAAACCAAATTTTCAGTATGATTTCCACTAAGAATATATACTTCAATAACATGATCTGTAAGCTAAACTACAACTAAGTAAGAGCTATTACAAAGACTAAGTGAAGAAGCAAGGTTTCAAAGAAGAATAATAGAACATCTGATTTTGAGAGTAAGTTTAGCAGGTGGCATTCCAGATAGATTAAGTATATTTAAATATTCAATTGGATATATATTTCTGTTATCAGAATCTTCTTTTGTTATAGCTTTGTCAGCACTTAAATATGTATATATATCTTCTGGAAAAATATTAAGAACTTTATAGTTAATATCATAAACATCATCATTATAAGTTGATAAAATCACACATAATCATTTTCACATAACTCTTCCTGACGATCACTTGTACCAACCTAATACTGAAAGCAAGTTGAAGATTCAAGCCTAGAAGTCGACAACAACTTGAAGTTTTCTTGATACAAACTGTTGTCAACGAAGTCTTTAAACGTGATACACCGAAGAGTGGGCGTTTTGGACAGTTTGCAAAGGGGTCAAGCCTTGCTTCTCTGCTATTTCTGGGGTGGACTCCCCTTTGCATTTGGCATCCAAACCAGAGGAGTCTCTGGGAACAGCAAGTAGAAAAGAAAACTAAAGTTAGTTTGAAGATAAAAGACTTTGAAGAACTCTTGGAACAACACTCCTTGGTTAGAAAACTCACAGAAACTCGATATTTTCTTGCTGGCTTTTGGCTTCAAAATTTTCAACAAAAAGTGGATAATTCGGCTTACCCCCTCCAAAAGATCGGCATTGTTTACCACTTCCATATCGGGAAACTAGATGATGACAAATCAGCACATATTACAAATGAATAAAATGATAACAACAAGTCACGTAAAGTTTTTAAAGTCCTTATGAGAAAATATTATTTAATTAGTGATATTCTATTATAGAGCAGTAGTCTAATAAGGTCTTCCAAATTAATCTAACAGTACCTAATGCAGCTATTTGCTTGTAAGTGTTTTTAAAAGTAATTGCAAATGTCAAACCTAAATATTATAATTACTTAATATGCTTTTATTTAACTAACAATTAAATATACTATAATAAAGAATATTAATAATACAGCTAAAGTAAAAAAAAAAAATTTGCAACCCTTTATTCTATATTTATGTTTTTAACCCCAAACATTTTGGAACCCATCAAGCCAATTTTGATGATTTAATTACTATTAGAAACAAAAAAAATTTTTTTGCTTAGTAAAATTTTTTTAATTTTTAAAAGATTATTTTAACCAATCATATAATTGCTTTAGATAAATCAGATCTTTGACTTAAATAATATAGTAAAAAATTGTTCAACTTTAGATTTTTTTTAAACTAATAGAGATTAAGAAACAAGGTTTTTAACAAAAGATTATAAAATAGTAAAAATATATATTTAAAATCTCAAGAAAATTATATACAGTATATATATTTTTTAATAATTTTTTTGTAAAAAATTTACATAAGTAGCAGCAACCATTAGGACATGTCCTGTAACTGATATTCTAAACACTAAATTAAATGACTTTTTATTAATTTTTTATGTTTTGCAAAATATTAAAAACCAAGTTTTAAATTTGGTTTTGATTTAACTTAGGTTTGGAACTTATAAAAAAAACCCCAGCTCCTAGGCCTTTAATTTTGAAACTTAATTTTTGAAACCTAACCAAACCTAAACTAATTTTACCATCCCTATTCTGCACGACCACGACCATAACCTCCTCTAAATTCGGGTCTAAAGTCACCTGAAGCACCCTCCTTTTTACCTTCACCTCCATCATCGCGGCGACGGTAATCACGGTCGGAACGACCTTGTGGTGGTCGATAAGCTCCACCTTCCCTACCTCCTTCCATTTCTGTTAAATCATAAATTATTTCAGTCTATCTCGAAAACATTTCAGAATTAATATAATAAAATAATCTCAACTAACCAGGACGCCTACTGGGTTGTCTAGCTTGTTTCTTGAATGTAGCGGGAACGATTTCTTGAGGCAAATGTAAATACTCTCTTAGATATTCAATGCCTTCATTCGTTAAAGAGTAATAATAATATTGCCATGAAAATTGTGTCTTCACATAGCCTTTAGAGTTAAGACTCTGGCAGGCTTTAATAACATGAAGATTTGGAACCTCGATGTCCTGATGTTTAGGAGCATTGAAATCTTTTTTTGCGACTAATACGCCCTCTACAATTTATACATAATAAATTTAATTCAAGTAAAAGAAATGAAGAGTTGTATTACTGATTTATAGAAAATTACAGACAGATGAATCACAAGAATGCTGCAAACCTTTGAAAAGACTTTCATAGATGCGTTTGCGGTTTTGCTTCGGAATAAGCATCCTCACTGTCTGTCTGTCTAATAAAAATTAGTCGATTTACATGTATTTTTAAACGAGAGTTTATTTTTTCAACCATGATCAAGGTATATTATATCCCTTCAAGCAAAGATTCATAACGCTTGAAGTAAAGATTAATTAAATACTGGAGGAGTAAAGTACACACCTTTTCAACACGAGGTAGAAGAGGATGAACCTATTCTCTTTACGAGAAATTTTATTCTGATCATGGTACAAATCTAACCCAATCAAAATTCAGCATCTTTTTCTATGATAAAATTTATTTCTGTATTTATGCAATGAAAATATTTACCTTCCTGCATACGCAAAGATGTCTATAGAAAACGCTAGTGCAGGCTTATGGAGCACTTTGGAACCAAAATTGAGTCCTTTCATGTATGTCAATTGTCAGCATTCTTTTATACGATCTATCAAATAACAGCCTTTTTATAATACCTTGTAGTTTCGAGACTCTAGCCACCATGGGATTCACCGAAATGACACCCGTACAAGCAGGAACCATTCCGTTGTTTATGAAAAATAAAGATGTAGTTGTTGAGGTAGTAGTGGCAATAATTTATTCGGTTTACGATGATAACAGTTGATCACTATCTGAAGAGAATTTTGGTTCAAGTTAGGCTGTAACTGGCTCGGGTAAAACTCTTGCATTTGTCATTCCAATTATTGAAAAACTAGTTCGTCTAAAAAAACGATTTGCCAAAAATGAGATAGGTGCTTTAGTTATAACACCTACAAGGTTTTGTTAATTATTGAATACAAAAAGTGGATTTTATGTGTTTATCATTTAATAATTCGGTTCAATTCTTTTAAATGACAAAGAGAATTGGCCCAACAAATTTCATCAGTATTTTCGATATTTCTTAAAGACTCTGTGATACCATTGCCAAAGCATGCACTCATAACTGGAGGTGCAAGTACACTTCAAGATGATATTCGTTACATTAAAGAATTTGGACCAGATATTCTAATAGGAACACCTGGAAGACTAGAAGATTTGCTGGTTGGCAGAGGAACGGCAAAAAATTATGTTAATACTAAAGAATTAGAAATTTTGGTATTAGATGAAGCCGATAGATTATTTGATATGGGATTTTCTCAATCTCTAAATAATATTATTGCACACCTGCCTAAACAAAGACGTACCGGATTATTTTCCGCAACGATGACTGATGGGCTTGCAGAAATTGTACGTGCTGGTTTAAGAAACCCAGTAAGGGTTATGGTTAAAGTCGAAGATCTTGTATCTAAAGATGTACAACGAATTCCTGCAACGTAGGTATTTTAAGTAGCAATTAAATGGTAAAAAAAAAAAAAAAAAAAAAAAACAGAAAAAGTGAATAATTTGCTATCGCATTAAAGACTTCAAATAGGATACATCTTATGTGAACCACATCAAAAATTATCACAGATTTTACGATTGTTAACGCGTGAGACAATTGCAAAAAAATATATAGTTTATTTTGCAACGTGTGCGTGCGTTGATTACTTTTTCAAGGTATTGCTTATTAAAAAAAAAAGGGTTTCGTCTTAGTGATTGGAATCGATCTTAATTGCTTAGCTAATAACTTTCGTGCGCGCTTATTTTGAAAATCGTACCATCTAAAAATAACATACATGACTTCGAAATGATGTCAATGCGCGTCTCGAAATAACGCGCATGATAGATCAATGTAAATTAGCCAGTATATTAATGTCTTCTTATGTCGGATGATTAGCCCTTATCTCAAAAGAACGGACATGCGTGTACTCGAAATAGTGCACAACCAATACGATTCCAATCTTAAATTTTTAAATGTGCATGATATATATATCTCAATCTGTTTGATTATTAGATATTCTCAAAATTACCACAATTGAAGGGTATTTCAATTTATTCACTTCATGGAAAAATGGATACAAAAAGACGAACAGGTTGCGTAATATATAACATTAGAATTCCCTTTTATAATAAATAACATTAAAATTGCCTTAGATGTAAAATATTAAAATATTTATCTATATGATTATTGATTATGTTAGCAACTTATCAGGCGTTTCTAAACCTTCCGTCAACGTCATCAGCACTTCTTTTGTGCACAGACGTTGCTGCGCGAGGGCTAGATGTTCCTGATGTGGATTTTGTGATACAAATGGACCCTCCACAAGATCCTAAAGTTTTTGCTCATCGATGCGGTAGGACTGCACGAGCGGGGAAGGAGGGTAAGGCAATCGTATTTTTAGGCCATGGAAGAGAAGAAGTTTATGTTGGTTAGTATTCGATTATTTTTAGGATCATTTGCTAAATGTTGTCATCTTTATGACCTAACTTAACGTGTGATGGATTTTTGTGGTAGATTTCTTAAAAATCCGTAAAATTCCTCTGCAGCAATTGGCGTATATTTTACCTGGTGATAGCAAATTCAGCACAAATTCTTTATCGGTAAATGATGATGATTTAATACCACAAGATCCTGTTATTGACGATGACAACGAGGCTTTGTTGGAACAAGTTCGAAAATTTGTTTTGACGGACAGAGACTTGCATGATAAGGTATTGTTTGTATTACAAAAATATAATAATATTTAAAGATTCTAACTTGGTCTAAATTAAAAGGGGACTAAAGCCTTTGTGTCGTATGTTCGTTCGTATTCCAAACACGAAACAAATTATATTTTTCGATTAAAAGATTTAGATTTAGGAAAAGTAGCGAAAGGCTATTGTTTATTGAAAGTACGTGTAAATTTCTATTATGTATTAGAGTCAAAACGTGATCCACTTACATAATTCATTTGATCTGTCATAGCTACCTAAAATGCCAGAATTAAAAGATATCAAGATTGAATTCGAGGAGACTAGCATAAATGTGCGCTTTTTTTTACGGTTAACAAATGGTTTTACTGTATTTACCATCATTTCAAATAATTAATCGTGTTATCATTATTAAGATGGACGGATATAGATATGCAAACAAAGCACGTGAGCAAAAAAGATTGTCGAAATTAGAGAGTGATAAAGTGAAATTGAATGACCAGCAAGTTAGGTAAGATAGTTTTTTATATTATTTATTTTTTTATTTTTTTATTTTGAGAACCATTATAATGAATGTATGTTTTATTTTGTAGTCGTCAAAAAAAGGTATTCAAAGGTCCGTGGTCGGAAAAAGTAGCTGCCAAACAACGCAGGATTGAACGCAAAATCAAAAGATCAAAAAAGAGAGAATATTTAAAAAAGCGAAAGGCCGAAGAGATGAACGGATCGTCCGTGGATATTAACAAAAATAAGGATGTAAGAAGTTATTCTGAAGATGAATGGGAGGAGTTACAAAAAGAGGAAAGATTAGCGAAGAAGCTCAGAAAGGGTATAATTAATCAAGAAGATTTCGAAAAAGAAATGGGATTAGTGATTGATGATGAAGTAGATGCATGAATGAAGTTAAGACTGGTTATCTATATTCATCTAGTCTAAGAGTGATTTAAAATGAGAAATATCATATTTATTTACTAAAAACTTATAAATACAAATCTTTGATTATATTAATTACATTTTGTGTCAAAACGATTATATTTTAAGTTACAACAAGACTTTAAAAAACTACAGCAAAAAAAAAAATATATATATATACATGTGTATGCGTCAGTTAATAATAAAAGGTTTATAATTTACAAATTTCATGTTTAGAAACAACGGGAATAATTCATAACTATTACAATTCTGGTAATGGTACTTTAATATTTTCTGTTATTTGTGGATTCACATACATCATAAGCGATAATAGAGCCTGCAAATATAAATCTTAGTTAATTGTCGATCTTTAGAGATTTGATTATGCCATAAATTTTGGAATAATGCCCATTCGCGTCCCGAAATAACGCGCACTTCATAATAATTCTGCTCGTGTTTTTTTTCAATTTTCGTAAAATATTTGTATATGACAACGATCAAAAATATTCAGTTATCACGCAGACAATTTTATTATGTTAGTCAAATCGTGAAAATCGACTAAAATAACAAAAAGTTTGTACATTATCACTTTAGGACTTTATTATATCAATTTTATTATTTCAAAATAACGGCAGAGTTAGAGATGCTGGTGAAATTAATTTCACCGATTTCACTAACAGTGGTGAAATTATTTCATCACCATAATTTTAATTTCACATTAATGGTTAATCATACTTATCGATCGTCAAAATTTATTACAAGCTTTGGTGTTTCATAATATTAAATCTGAACGAACCAGAAATATATCACGTTAGTAATAATATATTTAGTAATCATATATCTAACAAAGGAGACGAGATTACGAAATGTATGGATATAAATAAGTTTGTTTTATCCATAGGTATTTTGTCAAACGAAAACATTTATTATAATGTAAAAAGTGGATGGTTAACACATTATGACCTACTGACAATGAGAGGAAAAAAGGTGATATTATTTCCAAGTAATAGATTTTCATGAATTTATAATAAAATGAGTTTCTAAAGTTTGTAGCACAAGATAATTTGAATTGATTTAATCATTCTTTTTCAGTCTCAAATTTATTATTATGCAAGCATTTTGAAAAAAGGTTTCTCCCAAAAAGGATATCAAATATATAAGGTAATCCTCTGTAATACTTCTGATCAAACGCATTAGGTAACAAAAGTGGGGCAGATCGACCAAGTGTCAAAATGTTGTCAAAAAGTTTAAAAAAGCGCGAAGCACAAAATTCAAAATTTGTATAATCACTATCCGTTTTAAAAATCAACTGAAATGGTAAAAGTGGCGTCTTAATAATTGGACTATCTTATTTCGATCTTGATTTCAAATTTTGTAACACGAATCTTTAAGTGGAAATTACTTGTATTGATCTACGATTCGTAGTACACAAATTTTATCAAAGTCTTCGTTATCACGAAAAAGCGATCAGTTTAGTTTATTATTAATTTTTTTTTTTTTTTTTGTTTTTATTGCATACAAAAAAAGCATAATCCATCCAGGCATCGTACAAAATTCATTAGATTTTTTTTCTACTCGCTTATTAATATATATTTTTTTTTTCTTTTGCGTTTAAACGATCTTACGCAAACGTTCTACTTGCCGAAAGAAAATCCGTAAAGAAAAATAAACCTTAAAATATTCGAGCACTAATTATTAACCAAGTTATTAACTAGTACTTTAAAAAAGATAAGGCACTGAAACGACGAAAAAATGAAATTGTTCGGTAAAAGAAAATTTTCTGTACAAAAAATTCAGATTTTGTCAAATAAATTGCCTGCCACTAAATATTTCAACAATGTTCAATATATATCTACCACATTCTACAGTTGGACATATAGCGTAAATAACAATTCTCAAATAAAGACGACGCTCCTCAGTTATAATTTTTTTTTTTTTTGTGATTTTTTTTTTTGTTTTTTTTGGTTATTTTTTTCTTTGCTTTTTTTTTGTCATCAAATGGTTAAAATTGTGTGAAATCAATCTCCCGGATGTCTTCCATCTTCACGATTACATCAGCGTGAAGTGCACCATGAATTACTTTTCTCACCGGATCTTCAGGCATGTATTCTAATTCACCATCAGAACTTTGTAAAACAAACTGTTTTCCTGCTGGAGGTGGTTTCTTAATCGCAAAAGACAAAAGCGAAGCGAATGTAGTCTTGTCAGTAATAGCAATGTTCTGCTTGTACACTCTATTCGGTGATCGGATAGTAACGGATTTGAGCTGTATGAATGTTGGTGATGGTGTTGAACTCTCTATATAAAGTAATCATCGATTTCATAATCATTATTAAATTTCTCAAGAAAAATAAGAAACTATATATGAATACATACGCGTACCTGGGCCTGAACTAAAATCGAGGCCTGGAATTTGTGGTAATCGTGGAGGGCTCTTCCGAGGAGTAAGAGGAGCCAAGGGTACTGCTTTTGATGATGTTGCATTAGTATCTGGTACCGCCAAAGGTTGCATAGTAGTCACTGTTCAGAAAATAAATAGATAAATATAATCGAACCATTCCCATTCATTTCATGAACAGTGCAACAGAATGTGTTAGTCACGTTACCGGGTGTTACGCTACGTTGTTTAGTATAAACAACTAATTGAACTCCTGCTTCTCGTTGATAATCATCCCAAAAAAATTTTAGGGCCCTATCATCATTCAAAGCATAATGTAGTTGTTCTTTATCCAAAGGATTTTGGTAGTATACGATGGATAGATCCACTTTTCCCCACTTTTTCGGAAGTTTTGCGTTCAAAATATTTGTGTAAAGTTGCTGAAGGGCATTATTAGGTTCGATATTTGGATCTATGTTTGTAACAGGAATTTTAATTTCACGTTCAAGTTTGATTTGGGGTGTTTGCGAAACGTCAAAGCAAACAAGCGTAACTGATGACGAAGAAGCTATCTCTATAATGTGAAAATCGCCAAAAAAAGTTAAGTAAATCAAGATCAAAAAATTTTGTTATTACTCTAAGTAATAATAAAATATAAACAATACGATACCATTAACATC